CCGGAAATGACCTGAACGCGGTGAAAGTCGCTGCTCAGGATCACGATGTCGCAGCCAACGGCGCAGGCCTAAAACATAAGGTGAATGAAGCGGTGGAAGGATGAGAATCGCCCTTTGGTCGTCCTTACGGTAAAGTTGAGGCCATGAATGCTGCCGACGGCGAATACGTCTGCACCTTTGTTCAGAGCGCCGGTGATGATCTGGTGCACATCCATGACGCGGCCTAGAAAACAAATGATCAAGTCTGATGATGTACCACGACGAACATATTCGCGTCGAACCCACATACGGATAATCTACGGTTGATCACATACCAGCGCGCAAAGGCCAGCACACAGACACACAGACCTCGGAATCACATTATGGCAGAGAAAATGGTTAAGCGACATTGGCAAACACGCTTTCACCTGAATGCTGGTCGCAGATCATTACTGAGCTTGCTTTCTCATCGACTCTCAACGCCTTCTTTCTTGCTGGATGGGTCTCAGCGGTAAAAATTATTCATAAAAATGATCTCGTATTTGGCAGCGCATTGTTGGCCTACCGGTTGAGGTTCAGTCACAACCTGCTCTTACCGCAGTCATACTAACTACACAAAGTTTATAATCAACTCCATTTCCTACAAAACGTGGACATACTGAATCAAAGAACTAACTAGTCGTCGATTCACGGTACAATCAACGATACAGTTAATGGATAGAGTATGTCAGAGAAACTTTCAGAGCGCATTTACCTCAGTTACAAAGGTTGCCATAACGGCATAAGCAGTTACCTGAAAATGCAGTGTCGACTAATGAAAAACAGAACCTATGGTGCACTGTGTAGAAACTTTTGATGAAAGAAAGATACAGGTACTCTTCTAACTCATATCGGCCGACGAAAAACAATTCAGCATCGCTTCGCTTACGATCGTTCATGCATCTTCCGTTGAGGTGATTCCGTTCATGCATGAGATCAACTAGATCCAGAGTCACACAGTAGGGAATGCCAAAGTCCTGGGATCAACAATATACTTTGATGTAATATCCTAGTCTATCGAAAGTTCGAGCCGTTAGATCATGTAACAGCCGTCTCACAAAACGAACTAAGTGCTTAGAAGCCTTTACGAAGTCGGATCAAAAAGAAAACTGTATGAGACGTGGACTGTCGCTGAATACACCTGCAGGTCGCATACTTCATCTGCCAATGATAAAGCGAACATCGACCTCGACACGTGCGGAACAGACGCAGCAGTCCCAAATTTCTAAAGCTCAAGACCTTCCTGACGGGTAGCAGGATCCCGAACGAAATAACGATTAGTTATCGTTGATAGCGTAGTGATATATTTTCGTTTGGCAGCCGACTCAATAACTGAAATAAGGACATGGGTCGAGCGATCAATGGACAAAAAGGTCTGCGCGCAAGTGCAGTCGGAGCAGCAATGGCTTCTAGTGGGCAACTTGGAGGACGCGGCTTTCCGGCGTAGATGAGGATGGCCGATGTCGCCGAGAACCGGTATTTAAGGAAGCTTCAGTTTAAACGCAACACGATTCTAATTCTGATGAAATTTCGTGAATTCTTCTAATCTAATTCGTGATCCTTCTAATTCTGATGAAATTTCGTGGACATCTTCACGTTCCATTGTTAAACTCAACTTAACCCTATGCATGGTTATTACGAACTGCTGAATGATGTTTCGCACATGAAATTCCTCCAATTACGAGCATTCGATATGCCAGAAGCGCG